GGAGTAACACAAGTAGATTTATTTTTACAGTACTTGATGAGTGAAGGAGGGAGACTTTGCTGCAATCACGTTCATTTCATAATATAATGTTGCTTTAGTTTGTGATGCCTAAAGCTTTGAGAAAAGAGACCGTCTGGGTTAAAAACCAATGCTATACCATGTGTGCGAGTTCGTGGGCAATCACAGTTGAGACCCTCTCTTTGTTTCCAGTGGAGGAAAGGATGGGGTCATAGAGCAGGGCCGTTTCCCTGTATGTGACCAGACCCCAGTTCTCCATTGCTCCAGCGTTGAAGTCGGGCAAAGCGATCTGATCTGTGGAGATGAAGGGTTAAAAAAACATGCTGTGCTCAGGGAGATCATTGAAATGAAATGATTTAGCAAAATGGTCTACCTGACTTGGAGAGAGGATATGATGTGTTGTAATAATGCTCATAAAACCTCAGGATGGGTCCTGTAACATTGAGAGCATAGCTCCCCTGACCATCATCTATTGCTTTTCTCCGAGCCCAGATTCGAATCTGCAAAGAGTAATTTAAATCTTTGAGTCCAAAAAAAAGTGGTGCTCCTTACCATTTCATGCTCGTTTTAATTTTCCAAGATCATGTTTGGGAAAATATAAGCTGGGAAATGCTTTTTGGATCCCGGCCTCACTTGGGATTTAAGTGAATATGTAATCCAGGTTTCTTACCAACAAATCGTTTTGGTTTGACTCAATGGGAACAAAGTCGCTGACGATAAATGCCAGTAGATATGTTGACATTTTCCGCGTGGGCTCAAATGTTGTAATTTTGACAGCCACGCTGTCAATGACAGCCTCTGAAGCTTCTGTGCAGGCAGAGAAAAATATTAAACACTCTGTTAGCATTAACAGTGTTTAGTTACTTATTTACTTTAATAACTTGGACAAGGTGTTTTTTTATTAGTTACAACCAATGACTGAAGAAACAGTCATTGGCTTTTCTACAGTCACTGGTTTATGAAGCAATCACATTACCTACTACTTACAACATGATATCTATTCTCATTTTGAGCTTGTTTTTCCATTTGCACTGAAAAAAAAATAAAAAACTGAAATAGTTTTGTTTATCCAACGAACCCTTTTCCTTGCCATTGGACAGAGCCACAGTGTCTCGTGAGTGAATGATCGTGACACTAAAGACTGCTTTCATGGCTGGTTCGTCAAAGCAAGGAAAGCTTTTCCTGGCGTACGTTGCCTGCATTTGTGAGGTAGCAACAACTCTGCAAAACATTGGAAATAAACATTAATGGAAAACATTCACCAACAAACCAAAAGCCTTCAAAAACTGACCGAGAGAAACATTAAGCAAATAATACTGCAGCTTTATCACGGACACTGGCATCTTAAAATTATGCACAATCTCATTTGGTGTTTGCATGTGATTCACTAAATATTAGACACAAATCATCACATATTAAATAAATCAGAACATCGATAACACAGTCATTCATCCAGCTAACAATCATAATTCACAAGTTACTGTATTGTGTGAAGTACAAAAAGAAAGTGATATGTCTACATTTGATTGATTGGCTGTATGGCACAAAGTGATGAAAACTGCAATCTACTGAGAACGACAAATATGACTTTCACATACAGTGTGGGTAAAGACTCATTCTGCAGCTTTCACTCAAATCTGACCCGTCCACTGGAAGGAGTAGAAATTCTTGCGATAATGGAAATGTGCATGTTAAATGATAAATATGACCTTAACCTTGACCTTGAAATGTAGCTAGTGAGTAAAACCATAAGCAG